ACAGGTTGGCAGTTTAAACTCACCAGCTGCTCTTTGGAAACCCTATACAGGGTTGTTATCAGTTGTAACTGACTAGACGACACTTAACAACGGTAACAAGTGTTTACAGAGCAGAAAGCCTCATCTTTCTCCTGTGTAGTGGCTGGTGGGTTTGAACGGCTGACCTTGGGATTAGGAGCCTAAGGGGCAACCCACTATGCCACCAGGGGTTTATACATATATGGATTGAGTACTGTGAATTGTGTATAAAGTTTCAATAAAATTGTCTGTTGTTGACTTAAATATTAGCTATTACTTAAATTTGGTATTATTAACAGTAAATAGAGTCCTGGTATGGTGCTATGGGTTAATGCACTGGACTGCAAAGTCAGTTTGAACAGAAAGGTCGGCAGTTCAAGTTCACCAGCTGCTCCTCAAAAACCCTGTACAGTGTTTCTATGGGTTGGAACAGACTCAACAGCACTTAACACAACAACAATAACAAAATAGTAACATACATAAAGTGCATTAAGGTATGATTATTTGCCAAAATCTGGGTTATTTTTATTGTTGAAAAGATACTAAATTATATAATTATACATATTGAGCCAGATTTTCAAAACAGTCAATGTACTAAGAGTAAATGATAATTGAAGAAGTTCTTGTATTTCACCATGAAAGTGTTCATTTTACCACCAAGTGCCTAAAAATCTTTCTAGAAGACTCATGTCTACATGTCTACATACACATATGTATAAATACATAAGGACACAAAATGAGTATGCAATGGGTTCCTAGAGGAAGATGATGTAGTTAAGTGTAGTCTGCAAAGGGAAGATTCAAAGGGAATTTTCTTATAAAAGGGAAGGAGAGACAAGTTTTATTTTCTTCCAAAGTTTTTTCTCCCCAATTTAAGATTTATAGGCATGAAGACTGAATAACTTTAAAATCACCTCTCAACAGATACATTTACTCTAAACTGAATTAAACCGTTGTCTTCCTTCTAAAGCGTGAGAGAACAAGTTTGTTTGTCGTTGTTTTTTTTTCCTATTTACTGGCCAAATCAAATGTTTAATAATGAATTTATTCATTCATTCATTCACTCAACAAATAATTATTGAGTAAGATACAGAAATATATAACACAGAGAGCTTGTTTTCAAGGAGAAATAGCCATAGAATGACATGTGTGTAAGGATTGTGAGTGAAAACACTCAGCATAATGCCTGGTAGTGAGAAGATACTGGATAAAGGGTTTCTTTTTATGTGACTGTATGTTCCTTTTAGAACCAATATACAAAAAAAGTGGTGTTCACTGCTCTGCTTGTGTCATTTCAGCATTGCTGAGGCAGACAGCTAAGGTTAAGAGAGTTGCCAGCATTTCTCTATAGATGCTGTTATTGTTAGATGTCTTGAGTTGATTTTGACTCATAGCAATCCCATATGACACAGTAGAACAGCCCACAGGGTTTGCTAGGATGTAATCTTTAGGAGTTCTGGTGTGGTGCTTTAGGATAAACACCAGACCACAAGGTTGCTTTGAACTGCAAGATTGGTGGTTCAAATATACTATCCGATCCCATGAAACCCTTTACAGGGTCACTATGAGTTGGAACTGACTCAGTGGCATTTAACAACAATAACAAAAATTTTAGGAGTCCTAGTGTGGCACTGTAGGATAAGCACTGCACAAAAAAACTGGTTTGAACAACAAAGTTGGTGGTTCAAACCCACCAGCCGCTCCTTGGAAACCTTATGAGTGGGAACCAACGCTATGAATGGGAACCAACTGAACGACACTTAATAGCAATCTTTATCAACAGCCCTGGTGGTGCCATGGTTAAATTGATTGGCTGCTAATCAAAATGTTGATGCTTCGAGTCCACTTATTGTTATTGTGAAGTGCTGTCGAGTCGGTTCCAACCCATAGTGACCCTGTACAGGATTTCTGAGGAGCAGCTGGTGAGCTTGAACCTTTGACCTTGCAGTTCAAATCACTTTGCAGTCCTGTACATTAACCTACAGTGCCACACCAGGATTCTTCAAACCCACAAGCCACTCCATAACGAAGTTCTTGAATCCACCAGGTGCTGCGCAGGAGAAAGATGTGGCAATTTTTATTTACAGGCTTAAATCTATGAGAGACTCTACGAGCCAGTTCACCTATGTCCTATAGCGTCTCTATGAGTTGCAATCAACTCTATGGCAGTGGGTTTTTGATTTGGAATCTTACAGAAGATAAGATAATCATCAGGTCTTTTTCCTCAGAGTCACTGTGTGGGTTAGAACTCTCAACTTTTTGGTTAGCTCTTTTCACCCATCCACTGCCCATTAGTTCATTCTAACTAATAGAGATCCTATAGGGCACAATTGAACTGCTCACTAGGTTTCATATGCCTATGAAAGTTGGACCATAGAAGAATCGATGCATTTGAGTTATAATGTTGGTTGTTGTTGTTGTTAAGTGCCGTCGAGTCGGTTCCGACCCATAGCGACCCTGTACAGGGTTTCCGAGGGTGTAAATCCTTACGGGAGTAGAAAGCCT